ACACACACACACACACACACACACACACACACACACACACACACACAATTTACACAGACCCCTCCCCCCTCTCAGTTCTCTCTTCTCATTGGACGCTGGGAATGTCTTCCAGGAGAGACTGATGAGACATGACTCTCATAGAGTCTATCATTTCCCGCTCTCCTGCCCATCGAAGGAGGAGCTTCTCTGGTTTGAAGGCTTTGTTCCTCCTACATGTCCTTACCCTTTAGTCTAGTCAATACAGTTAAAGCTAAAACAATCACCAGTGTACAGTACAGTAGATGTATGGTGGAAAAGCAATACATTATGCAGATGATGGGAATCACTTTAACAGACTGTCCGTCTCAGGGTATTTAATAGAGTATATTAATATGCTCTTCCCCTTCATCGACATCGCTTTGGACAGAGGAGTCAATGTTGATCTAGAACAGTTTGTACCCATGTGAAACAATTGAACTTGTGTTTTAAACACAGCCCATGTTCAGCCATTCAATACAATAATGTTGTTATTCAGCTACAGCTAAATCTTTCTGGTGACCACAGAAACAGGCTCGGTGTGAAACCTTGTTATGTTTTCTGTACTGAGTTTTGTGTGTGAGTGACTGAACAATTGAACAAAAAGTCTTGGTCAGATCCTTCAGCAGTGAGCTCCTCCTAGACTGGATGGAGGTGTACAGCTCACCTGCTGCTGGTCCTCACGGTGTCCTCTGTCCGCTGGCTGCTGAGGCTGGACTCTGCAGGACCAACACTGGTCCTCCCAAAGTGCATCATGTGGGACAGCCTTGGAAAGAAGACACACAGGAACACATGGTAGGAAAATATGTGCATAGTACCATCTGTAGATCACTGTTGAAATAAAGGGACATTCAGTGGGTAGGTTGTATCAATGTAAAATCTGCATGAAGGGAGGCTTTCTCTGATGAACAACCCAGTGCCTCTGAATTGAAGTGTCAGCACATACAGTTAGGGAACTACAGATGTCTGATCCTGGTGTCCCCATCAGCAGGACAGTTAGATGAGGTCACAGTCACAATGTCAAATGCATCATAGAGAGTCTCCAGCAGAGGGTTTGGGTCCGTGGTTGGATTATTAGGAGGAACAATAAGTAGACTTTCAGAAGGCCCTTCTGGGTTCACTTGTTTCTTTTGTCCCAAGTCATTTGCCTTGTCTTTAGAGTGTTTTGAATTATGGATTTCAAAAGAGAACATGTTGGCTGTTGAGACATGGAAGTATGATTCGGTGGTCTATAAGCTTCACTGGTGTCCATGTAAACATGCTGTCAGGAGCCCTCAGGGTAAGTGTCTTAAATGCTGCACACTGCGTGTTCTTGTTCAGAGGGCTCCACATGACTCCTGGATCATTAGAGACTAAAAAGAGTCTAATTAAATAGCCACGAAAGGGAATTTTATTTTGCTCAGAAAACAAAACAAAACAAAATTCAAACAAAAAGAGTGTTTCTACGGTTAAATGGAGCACCAGAGCAGCCAAGTTGGTGGTGATAGGGACTTTGGGCAAACAGGATCAATAGAAGTGACCATGTTATCATCACAGCATCCAGCAGAAGACCAGGAGTCTACAGCAACTTCACATCCGTGTTTGCTCATGTCATGTTGGCAGCATGCTCACTCTGAGGGTAGCTTGCACTGGAAATTTCTGAAAATCTTTTTTCTAAATCACTTTTTGTGTTTCATAAAATGACCGGTGGCAGTTTTCATTCATCAACTGAAGAAACTGAGTAATGATCTTTCTGAAAATGAAAATTCCTTAGTTGAGAATAGCTGTTATAAAAATGTAACTGAACATAAATCATTTAGTTTTGAAAATAACTTTAAACTATATATACAGTATATATATACACTATATATTCTGAATATAATTCTGAACATCAGTTTAATAATCTAAATTCGCTTTGTATATCATTTATTGCTCACTTATACTTCCTTTCATGTCGTATTGAGTGGAGTGGGTGGTCAACCTATAAAACATTTATAAATTCAATAGTCTTGTTTTTATCATTAAAAATAATGCCAGACTGTGTACAAAGGTGTTATTCAATACATGAGTGTAAATATGATTTGAGAGATGTTTATAGGTTTAGAATTAAAAGGATGTATTTCTATTGCTGGGGATAAATTATGGAATAACATTAACATTAATATAAGAATGTGTAACTTACTTTTGGTTTGTAAAAGAATGCTTTGTAAAGCTATTTGGGTAGCACTTTATAATAACTACACACTATGACGCATTAGTTAAGTATGAGTAAACACTTAATTCATCATTTATAAAGCATTGTTCCTACATTAATAATTCATTAGTATGCAGTTCATAACAACAGTTGTAAATGTTTTATTCTTGATTAATACGCCTGTCTATTATGTGTTTCATTATTGTGTTTTCATACTTTATAAATGATGGATTCCCCATTTGTAAATGAAGTATTATATATTTTACAAACCAATTATTAAGGAGTTGTAGATGATTAATAAGATCATTTATAAAGTGTTAGTAAATAATTAATAACTTATTTAGATGTACATTATTCATGCATTTATATATATAATGGTTAGGGACTGTTAATATATGCTTTATAAATGCATATTAATACTGCAATTCATGATTAATTCATGATTTATTAAGGTAGTTACTACTCGTTAGTAAAGTGTTTTATGTGACCTCATCTAAAGTGAGGGCTATTTATGCCTTATAAAGCATTTATTAAGTATTTTGTGTGACCTCATCTAAAGTGAGGACTATCAATGCCTTACAAAGCATTTATAAATGACATTGAAAGGCCAGCAGTGCCTCAAAACACAGTTTTTGAACAGAACAGGCAAATAGACACAACACAAAGTGATCAAAAACATATTAATATTTATTGCAAGATGCAAACAATATACTGTTAAATACAAACCTCTCAGCCATTAATTCATGTAAGAAACAAACAAACAAAGACATTCTCCTTCAGGAGAACATGGCTGTATATAAAACGTTTGTAAATATACGACTGGAGCTAACCAGGAGCTTTGCCTATTAGTTTACATTTACTTATTTAATTATTCATTTTAACCGAGCATATCGATCTCCACTGTTCGTACTTTTCTTCAGTTGCATGTCCCGATGGCAGCCAGCCGAATCTGTTCATTGTTAACAATAAACTAAATCCCGCTTGTGAGACGGACAAAGGAAAAGACCGCTTCATACGTCATCAACGTGGGACAAACGTTTCGCCCAGGAACTGGTACAGAAGTGCACTTACGCGATGGACCCGGGCCAGAAATGATGACAGCTGACGGGCCTCCTATGGCACTGCGGTCAAGTCAGCAGACACTCAGATCTCCGTGGTCAACTCAGCAGACACTTAAATTGTAGTGCACCTATACGCTGAAATGTACGGTAAACGCAACCAAACGGCGCAGGACGGGAGCGAGCGAAGGATTTTGCAAAGTTAGCGGAAAGATTAACGTGAAAACTTCCGGTTTTCTACAGACGAACATCCGGTTTTCAAAATAAGATGCCAACAAAGTATACATATTGCATAATGAAATGAGATTAAATGAATTATATTCCAATAAGTATAAAAGATGATACCATCATCTCGTGAGTTAAAGGGAAAATACACCTAAATTGTGCGTAAAGTGTATTTATTCTTTGATTTGAGGGTTGCTGCAAATTAATAATACCTGACTGACAGTCAATTAAGATGTTTTACGAAGCAAAAACTCTGAACTGAATTTATATCTTCAAATGGCAAATTTCTGAAGTTTTTAAGGTGCTAAGAAAATGTTTTTCTCAATAATTCCCCACAATGACTAATGCATATATGTTCAGGACAAAAAAAGGCTAATATCACAATATTTGAGCTGCTACAAAAATATTTTTCTCAATAATTCCATACAATGACTGATGTATATGTAATCAAGGCATCGTTGACTCCACCCATAGAGAAAATTAGACACTTTTACTGTACCAATTAAGAGATATTTCAAAGTAAATGTCATACATTTGAAT